GATCACTAACAAAGAGCTGTGGAGGATCACCAGGCAAATACCAATGGAGAATGAGATCCTTACGCGGAAGTAGCATTGGATTGGTCACATATTAAGAAAGCCCGATACCCACCTATCCAAGAGAGCACTAACCTGGAAAGTGTCTGGCAAAAAAAAACTAAGCAGATGACAACACGACGCCGGAGGGACATAGCCGCCGGGCGTTATCCCTTGGCCTAATAAAGCCTTCGTATTATGTATATGTATATATCATGTCAATGTTTTCGTGGCCGTGCACGCTGCGAACAGCTCTCCCCATTTCCATCTCGTCCTGCACCCACATCACCCCTGCCCTGAGTGTCAGGGAGTTTTTCGCCCGGGTAGTGGGGTTTGTCCCAAGGCCCGTTCCGTGCCCCGCAAGGGGGTACGATGACCCTTCTTATCTTATCTTATAAAGGAAGAGAGGCCGTCCCAGAACAACTTGGCATCGCTCGGTTGAGCAGGAATTAGGCGTCTTGGGCATGACGTGGGAGGAGCTAAAACAGATTTCCCAAGACCGATGTAATAAGAGAGTAATAAGAAAGAAATAAGAAGATGATAGCTGCGATAGGCAGGACCTCCTACCTCATGTTAATTTTTTATTTTTTTTTGTTGTTGCTTAGATGGGTGGACGAGCTCACAGCCCACCTGGTGTTAAGTGGTTACTGGAGCCCATAGACATCCACAACGTAAATGCGCCACCCACCTTGAGATATAAGTTCTAAGGTCTCAAGTATAGTTACAACGGCTGCCCCACCCTTCAAACCGAAACGCATTACTGCTTCACGCAAGAAATAGGCAGGGTGGTGGTACCCACCCGCGCGGACTCACAAGAGGTCCTACCACCAGTAATTTTTACTAATGAGATAAAAAGGCATCGTTGCGATTTACTCGTACATTAAATTTCATACTTACGGCCCTTAACATTCTGTAGCGAAGTAGTAGGAGTAGTAGGAGCTTACGAATTACGATATACGAAAATACGTCGAGGTAAAGGCCAGTTAAAAGGCCTAGGGGTAGAGGTCCCAAACGATGGTCGGACCAAATAGTGGAGGAACTGGGGATACCTGTCAGCGACGCACTCCACCAAGCTACAAAACGGGATCGATGGAGACAGCTGGTTGATGGAATCGAACGGAGTCACGATCCTCAGCAGTGAGGGACCGACCGAAGAGAGAGAGAGAGAAAAAGCCAGTTTGTCTGTCCCCCTGTTTTACTGGTGACAAGCTCCAAGAAATGCTTCAATCATTCGTTCTAACTAAAGATACCGTTGTTTGTATTTTAATACGCTTTTATTCGCTTCAGACGTATGTATGTTTGTAACGGAATCTTTGAACATTATTTTGACCCGCTTCAAAACGTCGGATTAACTCGAAATTTGGTATACTTATTAGGGATCGATGACAATACAATATAACAAAAAAATTAAAAATTAAAATTCGACTAAAAAATTAAAAATAAATAATAGTTTAAAAAACTAACATAATACGCTTTTATAGAAAATCCAACTAAAAAATAGAAAATAAAATTGAATTAAAAATAGTGTAATGATTTTATTGTAAAGTGCATGGTTTTAGTAATTATAAATATTTTGTGAACAGATATGAGTAGAAGGGTTATTTTGATAATATCCTGAAAAGCATCCCACGCTTTTTTACAATAAAATCATTTTTTCTTACACTATTTTTAATTCAAATTTATTTTTACCATTGCTTACTGCTGGTATGACGTATTGTCTATAAGAGGTAGAGGTAGGTGGGTGGTGGTATTGAATTATTTTATAGGTTCCTGTGACTATTTGACAGCAGAAGGTCTTTGAGCTCGATCATCCATGTACAAAAATTTTAAAGAGAACTATTAGTCACCCACCGCTGGAAGAATCGCAGAATCATCTTCACTTCCTACGCACATCGAAAGATTGTTCATCGTTTTCACAGGTTTTTTCCTAAATACAGCCTGCGGTGCAATTATGTGTCTCGACGAGCACACGGCCCACCTGATGCTGAATGGTAACCCTTGCCCATGGACTTCAGCAATGCCAGGGGCAGAGCCAAGCGGCTGCCTACTGCTTAATACTCTCCACAAACCTCGTTTGAAGAAGGACATGTTATAGCGCTCGGGAAACACCGTAGAGGGGAGCTCATTCCATAGCCGGATGGTGCGTGGCAAAAAAGACCTCTGGAAACGCACTGTGAATGACCGCAGTGGCTCCAGGTAGTATTGATGAACTTTAATCCGGTGGCGGGCGGTGCAATGGTAAAAACGAGATGACGCTATCATCTAAAAAATTCCTCCGAGCACTCCCCATGGAACATACGGTACAAAATACAGAGGGGACCGAAGTCCCTCCGCAGACCCAGAGGTTCCAAACGATCCGTGAGAATGGGACTGACTGCTGTCACATGTCATTCTTCAAACGTGGTATGTGAGTCCTCGGGTTACTAACTCGATTTCTGATATTTCTGATATCGTCAGACAGCGACCATTAATTATCAGCGGACTGTATTCTTTGGCTTTGAAGTCAATGTATTTCAAAAAATGTATTTATTCTATAGAGAACTTAATTTTGCATTTCAAAAGAGGACAGTGGTATTCTAGTTGTTTATAACTTCCGGTCACAGCATAGCGTCTGGTGAGGCGTATCCTGGCCCTATTTTAATAGACAAAAATAAATCACTCAAATATTACATGCTCGACTTTGTAGTTTTTTAATACACTATTAACTTTTATTAGAATTTATTTACATGATTGCCCGTACGATCTGACGTTTGAAATCACCGACGGCCTGGAATCTAGATCTAAATTAGATCTGATAATCGCGAATCAAATAATACGATAATCGATATTTCAAACATCTTCGTTTCTTGTGAGTTTACGTCTTAAAATATTCAATCTAGAACTTTTTTTTTAATCGAGGTCGTGAGATGAATATCGTCTGAAAATTAGAGATAAACGGTCTTGAGTTTTAGAATGGAACGATCAAGATATGACAAATATATTTTATAACTGTAATACTTTTCTATGTAAAGTCATATTTTATTCCAGATGTGCTATCTAATGGTAATGGTAAGTATTTAATTAAGAATTCAGAATTAATTGCATTATTAGCTGTGTAAGTACCGTAACTGAGCCGGGGTGGGTCATCGAGTTCCGGTGCTAACATCCAAATTGAACTAAAACGAGGGTAGAGAGATTTTTCTCCTTCCAACATCCCATCCGCGGTCTTCAGATGAGCATGGCGTCCACAACAGCAAAGAAATTTCGGGGAAAGTACCAAAATTAAAACATAATATATAATAGAATAGGGTAGTATTGATTTCCTCTCAGTTTCATTGAAATGGGTTGGAAAAAGAAATTATTTTTATATCTGAATGAATCAATCACAAGCACTGCTACAATAATTTGTTAGGTTTTCAGAAAACAAATTTAAAGTAATGCGTTTAATTTATTTCTCTGTTTTTAATTTCCATGGTAATTTCTACCAAAAACACAGTAGATTTTAAATCAGACACGGCACCATACTGTTGTTTTTTTAAGACGGCCGAATTGCTGAAATATTTAAAAAGCTATCACACTAAAATAAATTCGAAAGTAATAAATTACGAATTCCGACTCCTCCTAATTCATTCATTTCAATTCGTCTAGTTTCCAGTGAGACACTGGGATTAATTAGAGGATATTTCCATTCCTGAAAACGGCTTACAAATCTCAAGGGGAATGTCTTACTAATCAGGATTGTACGCATTAATTAGCTAACTTGCCAACTCAATTCGAAGGTCTTGCTTTTGAGAACATAAAGCATAATTAAACAGTGACCTGAATATTTAAATATATACGAGAATTTTCAAGCATACTCATTGTGGATTATGGTAGCGTTCAAAATAGGAATTGTCTTTTATATACAAATAATATACACATAAATGATAATCTATTAGTAATATTTATAATCTATGAATAATATTTATAATCTATTAGCTCATTTTCTATATATAAAATAAAACAGCTTAGCCAAAATTTACTCCTCTATTCGTTAATCGATTTTTGTTTCTTCGGTAAATGTTGCCAGATAAACTTTAGCTTTAATCAATAAAGCTAAGTAATATTCTTCATTTGAAATGTAGTCTTTTTTTATCGTTAACAAAACCAAAATAATATTCTAAAAACTGTTCATAAAATGAATCTAGATCTTTATGTGTCAGTGATTATAGTTGAATTTCGATCATTAGGCGAACGCTAGTCATATTAATTTCGCATTGGCTTATAGTGAAAACATCCTAGATTTACTTCGTACAGATTAATTAACCACTAATAGCTTCGGCTAAATCTATTCTAATCTCAAGGTATCTTTGTACAAAACCTATGTTCGTTAATAAAACCAATGTAGCAGATGCTTCTTAAAAATAACAATATTTCACTCTCTTGCTTATATCTATCATATACCAAACACACTTTCTTATTCTCATAACCTACCTACATTAACCAAATAAATCCATTATAAACAAATATTTTGACACCTTATGATCCCTCATTTTAAAAATCATTCGTAAATGGATAACTTAGAGAGAGAGAGAGAATACACTTTATTGCACACCAAAACACAATTTACATTCAAAAAAACAATCAAAAAACAGATAAATTTGTACAATAGGCGGTCTTATCGCTAAAAGCGATCTCTTCCAGACAACCGTATAATTTATAGAAATTCTGGAAAATATAAAAAAAAAAAATATAGCAGGTATGTTGCGGTGTACTATAGATAATACATTATAGAAAATATATACATACAATAAACAAAATATATACCGTTTACATATAATATGAAATATATACTTATTATTATATACCAATATACATACTTACATACAATACATACTAATATACTTACATACACATAATACATCAACAGTATGGAAATAATAAATGATGATGCAAACAAACAGCACTAAGAAGATAAGTAGTGTTCCTTCACCATTCTTTTAAAACAGTTTAAAGTTTGAGCACTTCTCACTGCATCCGGCAGAGCATTCCACAATCGAACCGCCTGGACGGTGAATGAATGATCAAAGAATGATGATGAATGCGCCGGCATTTTCAGTCTCAGGCTATCCGATGATCTCAGGGAAAAATTATGCGTATCACGTAGGAACTCGAAACGTTCTTTGAGATATATGGGGGCATGGGGGTTAAAGAGAGTACAGTATAGTAATGAAAGGACATGAGTATTGCGGCGAAGGCGAATTGGTAACCACTTGAGTTTAGTGCGAAATTCAGATACATGATCATATTTCCGTAAACCAAATATGAATCTTATGCAGAAATTTTGTAGCCGCTCAAGTTTATCAAGTTGTGTTTCAGTTAAATCAGTATAGCTGGCATCGGCGTAGTCAAGAATTGGAAGAAGGAGAGATTGTGCAAGCGCAGTTTTAGTGGCAGTTGGAAGAAAATTTCGTAACCGTCTCAAAGATCCAGCTGTTGCAAACACCTTCCGGCTAACCTCTTTTATCTGAGCGTTCCATGAAAGGTTTTTATCAATTAAGATTCCTAAATTTTTCACAGTATCGCTGATAGGAATTGGTACGCCATCAAATAAAATAGCCGGAAGCTGCGACCATTTCACTTTCGAGCACAATCTTGAACTGCCGACAACAATGACCTGTGTCTTCGACGGGTTCACCCTCAATCCATGCGAATTACTCCAACGGGATAATATTGATAAGTCATTATTCAGCGTCTTCATCGCGTTGGTCAGTTCTGACAAAGAAGTTTGTGTATAGATCTGTAGATCATCTGCATACAGGTGGTAGGAAGAAGTAAGTTGTATAGAAATAGAATTTATAAAAATTGAAAAAAGTAAAGGGGATAAAACGCCACCCTGCGGTACACCTACGTGCGTTTCACACCATGAAGAATAGGCATTCTCACAGTGAATACGCTGTCGGCGACCAGACAGGTAACTTCGAAACCAATCAACCACGGTCGGAGATATGTTAATGGAGCTAAGGATGGCTAGAAGTATGTCGAAATCAACGGTGCCAAATGCATTACTGAAATCCAGCAATGCCAACACCGTCAGTTTCCCACTCTCCATGCCAAGTCTGATGGCATCCGTAATATTCACCAGGGCTGTGACTGTGCTATGACCAGGACGAAAGCCGGATTGGTAAGGGTTTAAAAGCTGATTCCTTGTAAGAAACTCATTGAGCTGGTTGTGAATCAAGCGTTCTAAAACCTTTGAAAGGAACGGTAAAATGGAAATTGGACGGTATTCTGAAAAGGATATAGGATTCGACTTTTTTGGCAGTGGTGTAATTTGTGCTTCTTTCCAAGCCTTTGGAAAGATGCCGCTAGATAATGAGTGATTGAGGATATGACAGATAACGGGAAGGATTTGGTCCAGGATAGGAAGGATCATATTACGGGCGACACAGTCACTTCCAACTGCATTGGAAGTTATAGATAATATGCTCCGCTTAACATCACAAGCCGTTAGGTGATTAAAAACAAATGGAGAGCAATTTGGGACTGGAAGAGATGAAATATGATTTAATGTTTTTGATTTAGTTGTCCCATCAAAATCGGACGACGCACAGAAATGTTGATTTAATAAATCAATACTCGAATGAGATAAATGAGTGTTATGTTGTGATTTTCCAATCCCCAGTGATCTAAGAAATTTCCAGACTTTAGCTGGATCTCCATTTTCGACAGCACTATGGATATGTTGGCGTTGTGCATCCCTACACACCCTGTTGCAGTGATTACGGATGCGGTGATAATTTGTGCCATTTTCGAGGGTAGGTTTTTTCTTATATTTTAATTTAGCAGCCGCCTTCTTGATTAAGATACTTTTAATTTCATTAGTAAGCCACGGCGCTGGCAAATGTTTTATTCTTACTGGTCGACATGGTGCGTGCTTGTCATATAGACCAGTTAATTTTGCATTGAACTGATCAACTTTCTCATTGATTGAGGTAGAACACGTCAAAGCAGTCCAGTCAATGCTGCCTGCATCTTCTCGAAGACTTTCAATATCCATACCGTTAAAACTGCGCAGCAGAAGAATTTTTGACTTAGCCTTAGGAGGTCGTACTTTGTATGAGACGAAAATGAGATCATGATATGAGAAAGCGTCAGCTGAACATTGTCCATGGTCAGCCACGTAATCAAGAGAAGTAACGAAAATAAGATCAAGAAGTGAAGGAGCACAGTTTGGAAAATGATGTGTCGAGTTCAACGGTAGAATAGTTAAATTTACCGATTCGATCATCGAGTGAAATAAAGTACTGCGAGAATTATTTTTAAGGAGGCATGTGTTAAAGTCACCCATGATAATGGTATGAGTATATGAAGGCATTATGTTTTCTAGCAAAGTTTCAAAAGAAGTAAAAAAATCTATACTTGACGAAGGACAATAATAAACACCAAGTAGCATCTTCGTGTGTTGAAGTTCTATTTCAAGAAATAAGTGCTCGCCCGCACATGGCGGTGTAGGCTGTGCCGATACATTAACAACTGTACAATTAAAATATGAACGGATATAAATGGCAACGCCACCACCGCCACCAGTAATACGGTCGTTCCTAAAAAGTTGAAAACCAGGAATGGTATAAGATGTAGACGGAAGACATGGCTTAAGCCAAGATTCTGACACAAGTATAGCATGGATATTCTTAGAATCAAAACTTGCCAGCATGTCAGGGAAATGAGCCGGAATACTCTGGGCATTGATATGAACGACATTAAAATTCCTAGGAACACCAGAGAACCGTGAAGACAATGTTTCTGCTAAAGAAGGCACACTAATATCGCTGTTGTCGCTGTTTGCTGAATAAAAAGTTTCAGATTCACTTGTATCTGTTGAGTTGAGCATATAAGTAGAGAAAGTATATATATTTATATATTATACACAATATCAAAATATCAATACGGTTATGAATATATATACAAATTAATAATACCCACCAACTGGGAAAGTGTCTATGAAAATTAATTTAACTATAATAGAGACAAAACAAGCCAAAAGACAAACAAAATAACAAAATAAAAGGAAATCAAAGTAGCAAAATAGAATACCTATATAAAATATACGTAGCAATTAGGTAGTATAATCTTATTAGAAAATGAAAACATTAAATAGTAAATACAAAGCAAAAGAAAAAGAAAAAAAGAAAACAAAATAAATAAATAAAAGAAACTAAAATTAAAGAAATACAAATCAGAAGCATGAGTAGCAGTGAAAAGATTACAGTATACTTAAATTCATCTCGACGTTTTCTTTATTAAGCTTCGCTTTAAACTTAATACGTGTAATTTAGCTGTATAGACGAAGATACCTTTGCCACTTGAAAGTTGACAGTTAAAAAATTTTCAATATCATGCACTGTCACTGTCACTCAAATATTTAAATATAAAATTAAATGTACCTACCGACAAAAGGCTAGGTACTTATAAGCTAAAAAACAGGTAGTTTGAAATTAATACTACATTATTAATATTATAAATTATAAACAAAATTAACGATAAAATGTAAAAAAATGATAATTAAAAAGTTTATAAGGAAAGTTAATTTCACTTTGTCACCTGTTAATCCTGTTATACACAAGAAAGGAAACAAACAAGAAGCAAGATTATCACTATCACTTTCTAGCAGCAGCGCGCTTTGCCTTTACCACAGCCGGTTTTGTAACAGCACGCTTATGAGCATCAACCTCAGGGACTGCCTCCGATGTGTTCTTTTGAAGATGATTAAGATCTCGATGTGTAACGACGCGATGTTTGATGCCATCCGCTCCCAAAATGTAGACACAGCCATCCTTGGTCCAGACCTTCTTCATGCCGAATCTACTCCGTGCAGCCATGAAAATGTCGTGCCGCGCTTTCGTCAGAAACTCCGAAATAGTAAAGCCGGTACCCTTTAGTTTTGTTTTAGAAAACCAAACTTGACTGCGCATTTCATACGTTTGGAATTTTATCAGTATGGGACGAGAGCCTTCGGATGTTGACAATCTATTCATACGGTGACATCTTCTAATATCAGTTGAGGAGAACTCGGCCAAAGCAAGATGACTGCCTATGAAATTAGACAATACCTGTTCAATTTGCTCACCCTTAGTCTCAGCTACTCCGTGAATGATCAACATTTTTCTACGGCTGCGAGTCTCTGTATTATCTTGCATGCGCGCGAGCATCTCCACCTGCTGTTGCAAGTTATTAAGTGCCTCAGTAATAAATGCCCGAAATGACGAAAATTCCAATGCCAAACTTGATGATGTGGTTGATGGTTCTGGAGACTTGTTGAGCTGGGCTTCGAACTTCGCCATACGTGCATTAAACAGCTCTGACATCTCAGCCAGTGAAGATTCAAGTGGATTCATAGTAACAGAGCAGTGAAGTGTGTAGAAGTAATTAATTGTAAGGATAACACTTTTCCAGCTGGTAGGTACAATCAGTTGTTAGAATAAATCATATAAATAATGGTGCCATAATTTTTTCTTATTTTACACAATTTCCACAAAAACACAGTATTTTCGTTTCAACACACAACTACCCCTTATATTGATAACTTACGTGATATTGTCGTTCTCTTTAGGCGAGGCTTAAAGAGTCCTCAACGGTAGGCAGTTGCTTTATTATATTCCTGCCTTTTCTGAACCATGCTGGTCCATGAGCAAGAGTAACCTGTAAGGGCTTGTACACAAAACTGCGATGCGACGTCGCATCGAAAAAATCTATGAGCTCCCACGACGCATCGCAAGAACTTGCGAATTGATTCGCATCACGCATTCCTGCGATGTTAAAGGATTGTGGAATTGAACGCCAATTGTAGAAGGGAAACGCCTTGTTGCACGAAAACGCATTGTAACAATACGTGTCGCAGTTATGTGTGTTGCCAATTCGCAGCGCGCTGATTCGCAGTTTTGTGTACAAAACCTAAAGCTGTAGTTTTGTCTCCATTTGTCTTTACTGGTGATAGGACCTCTTGTGAGTCCGCACGGGTAGGTACCACCGCCCCGCTTATTTCTGCCGTGAAGCAGTAATGCGTTTCGGTTTGAAGGGTGGGGCAGCCGTTGTGACTATACTGAGACCTTAGAACTTATATCTCAAGATGTGTGGCGCATTTACGTAGTAGATGTCTATGGGCTCCAGTAACCACTTAACAACAGGTGGGCTGTGAGCTCGTCCACACGTATAAGCAATAAAAAAAAAAAATTGTTTGTTCCAATAAAATTAAAGTATTTTCTGGCATAGTATTTATGATTGTAAAATAGTAATATGTATTATTATTAGTAAATCTTATAGTGGACACTAGCAAAGAGTTTGAACTTACAGTTGAACGATTTCAGATTCCTAGAACTCAATAAGTGGGAATGTAGGGGAAAAAAGGAATAGTATAAACAAACCGTTTAATCAAAACACGCTTTAATAACTAGCTGAACTAAAAAGTAGGAAATAATGTTGTACAAGTTAAAATAGAGTGATTAAGAACAAAATCGTATCATAAAAATATTGGGGTGCCCGATATTAATTATTGTACATGATTAATGTAATTATTGTTGTTGAGTGATATTGGTAAACCGATATTAGCAATAGAAGTATTTATAAAATATCTTATAGTACGTAACAAAAAACAATACCGTGTTTTCAATTACTACTGAAGATGTGAATAAGGATACTCAGACAAATTTGTCAAATTAATGTATTATCATCAGTCCTTGATGAGTGTGCCAAATATAAAACCTCTATGAGGTTTTGAAAGCAGTGAAAATCAACGATGTCATCACACAGATACATACACAGCTAAGAAAATCGTTTTGACTGGCCTTTCCTCCCTCTTATCATGAAGATGAAACATGATTTTCGAATTGTAAATGCTCCAAACGAATTATTCGCAAGTGTTCATTTCAAAGCTTAAGGACACGAGGACAACGAAAACAAAAAGACAAAAGAAAACACAACGATAAATTAGTAAGATAAGTTTTTTCAATAACCAGCCGGTCCCGAAGTTGAAATACAAATCATAACTTAGAACGCGTCACGAACAGATGAATTGAAAAATGGCGACGAACAAACGAAAACAGTTATTGTAATAAGAAATCTTTTACATTTTCCTTTATAGCTCTTCAGAAGTTGGGTTTCTCGAGTGCTTTCTGACAAATCTTGATGGGCAAGGTTGATACGCTCCGGATGATGCAAAAAGTCGGGACCAAAAAACAGTCGAGAGTGGACGGAATGCTAAATTCGCATAGTGTAGCGGTTTCGCTCGCTAACTCAAATTTGTATTATTGACTGTGGCCGGTAGCCATCACAGAACAGAAGATATTTTGACAGATGTTTGAATCTCACTTACAACATTTTCAAGATAAGCTTGCATATAAACAAGTTCCAAACGACAACATTCGGACCGTCGGTCTACCGAGCAATATCACCCGCTCGGTGGAAGATCTTCCTTTTATCACATTGACCAACTTCCATTAGTGGAGGTATCTGACTAATACCTCTTCTTTTTTTATCCTACCTATGCTGATAGTTCTTACTGGTGGTAGGACCTCAGGTGAGTCCGCACGGGTAGGTACCACCACTGCGCCTATTTCTGCCTATTTCTAAGCAATAAATAAAAAATACAAAACAGCATAAAAAAAATCAATTTGAAAAAACAAATATTGACTTCAGTTTCTGTGTTTCTAATATTCCTAATGCATTTTTCTAGTGTAACGGAGCTATTAAAAGACATGACATTTCGACGTAGCGAACTGGTATGCGAATGCAATTTAAACTGGGATGAACCTAAATATCGCACAGATATTTGTGTCTTGAATATTTCAGTACTAAAGTGAATTTTTTTTATTGCTTACACGGGTGGACGAACTCATCTCCAACGTGGGGTTAAGTGGTTATCTGAGCCCATTAAGCAGGACATCGGAGGACAACGTAAATGCTGCCACTCACCTTGAGACGTCAGTTCTAAGTCTCAGTTTTACAGTACGACAGCCAGCCCACTTTTGAAACCGAAACGCATTACTGCTTCCCAGCAAAAATAGGCAGGGTGGTGGTATCTATCCGTGCGGGCTCACAATACGCCTTACCACCAGTAATACCAGATCATAAGCAGTTTGGTATTTTCAGTATCTGACTACTTATCGGAAGGTCCAGATAGACGACCCTGGGCTCTTCGATTTGCTGTTGCGGTAGTAATGCCCTCATCCTATACTCGTAGTATCATCTCACGTTACATTACAAATACGCTATGTAAAGTGTATGAGTAATTTTAGAAAACTGAAAACATTTTGTTAGTGATGACAGGTATGCGTGCTCAATCTTGTATTAGCGATATATCCTAAGCACCCGCACTGGGTCAAAACCGCGTTCTTGTACTAAAAAGTCGCCCGTAGTACTAATTGTTTGAATACCCTTATTGTTCTCTTCTTGTATGACTGCTATTTATTTATCTATAGCGATTTAGATAAAAAATAGACTTATTAACAGACACACTTAATGTAAATGCGTTATAGATATAGAATACCTGCTATCTTGGACATAAGCCTATGATGTATTCACTGGTGGTAAGACCTCTTGTGCGTCCGCACGGGTAGGTACCACCGCCCTCCCTGTTTCTGCCGTGAAGCAGTAATGCGTTTGGTTTGAAGGGTGGGGCAACCGTTGTAACTATACTGATACCTTAGAACTTAAATCTCAAGTTGGGTGGCGTATTTACGTTGTGGATGTCTATAAGTTCCATTAACCACTGGTAACATCAGGTGGGCTGTGAGCTCGTCCACCAGTCTAAGCAAATATAAAAAAAAAAATTAGTTCTATTATAAATGACATCGCTTCCTCGTCTTTTATTTAGTAAACATCTTATAGTATTAACCTTGTATTATTTTTCTCAGTTTCACCTGTTACAGCAGCACAATGAACATTAATAATAAAATTCATTAAGGAATATTAGTAAAGATTCCTAGTCTTTGGATACATTTTGTTCTCACAGTAACAAAGCTTTCTTGTTATCAAAATGAACATAATTCAGAATATCAAGACATAAAGTTATGACCGTAATACCGAGGGCGTAGATATCGGTACTGTTGGGAATCACTAAATTTTGTATGTAAGAGTTCACAGTGTAAACGACCAGCAGAGAAACAAATTCAAATCTATACATTAATATGTGGAAGAGTATGACATTTATATTTGTTATAGTTAGTTGTTTATATTTATAATAAAATATAATTGACGTATACATTAAATTGTTCCCTCCCCCGAGGCCGAAGGGTCGCGCCCAGGAGGAACTGCGTCGACACCCGCCGAAAAAAAAAAACCAAGCGCAGAGGACAACACGACGCCGGAGGGTCCTGCCGCCGAGTCCCGGAGCCAGTCAAGGCCATCGTATTATGTATAAGTATATATTTTTGTCGATGTAGTGCAGCCGTTTACGCTGCGAACAGCACCCCCCCCCCTTTTATTCTGGACCTGCACCCACATCATCCCTGCCCTGTGTGGCAGGGAGCGTCTGCCCGGGCAATGGGGTTTGCCCCTAGGGCCGTTCCGTGCCCCCGTCAGGGGGTACGACGACCCCTCTTCTCTCTCATTACGTACGAATTACTGCACGAGTATTATTATGTTTACGTCTAACGAAAACCTAAGAAAATACGTAACATGGATTGTTAAATAGCGAACAGTTTGGATCACACTTGTCGCGGCCGAGTGGGAGCATTGGACTTTTCGATATCGAGTCGAGGGAACCCGCTCCTCCCCACAACCTCTTACAGCTGGAGTCCCCGCAAGGCTCTGTCCTCTCACCCCTCCTATTTAGCTTATTCGTTAACGATATTCCACGGTCGCCGCCGACCTATTTAGCTTTATTCGCCGACGACACGACTGTTTACTATTCCAGTAGAAACAAGTCCCTAATCGCGAAGAAGCTTCAGAGCGCAGCCCTAGCCCTAGGACAGTGGTTCCGAAAATGGCGCATAGACATCAACCCAGCGAAAAGTACTGCGGTGCTATTTCAGAGGGGAAGCTCCACACGGATTTCCTCCCGTATTAGGAGGAGGAATCTCACACCCCCGATTACTCTCTTTAGTCAATCCATACCCTGGGCCAGGAAGGTCAAGTACCTGGGCGTTACCCTGGATGCATCGATGACATTCCGCCCGCATATAAAATCAGTCCGTGACCGTGCCGCGTTTATTCTCGGTAGACTCTACCCCATGATCTGTAAGCGGAGTAAAATGTCCCTTCGGAACAAGGTGACACTTTACAAAACTTGCATAAGGCCCGTCATGACTTACGCGAGTGTGGTGTTCGCTCACGCGGCCCGCACACACATAGACACCCTCCAATCCCTACAATCCCGCTTTTGCAGGTTAGCTGTCGGGGCTCCGTGGTTCGTGAGGAACGTTGACCTACACGACGACCTGGGCCTCGAATCAATTCGGAA